CTTCTCTGGTCCTTTTTCACTTCAATGTTCTCTTGTCTTCGACTTTCTCTCCTTGGAATACAGTCCTCCCTCCCCCACCCTTCCTCAGGCTACAGCTTATGGTTATTCTAGGTACCCTGGGTTAGCTTGGGAGCCTGTAGGTTGCCACAAGTGCCTTGTTCTTCCCCCCAAATCCAATGCATTATAACTTCTGATTTGATGTCTTTCAAACTGTGCTAAGATTAAGTTCTTTGGAGAAAACATGTCTACTGTGCTGACCCCTTTACTTCCAGGACATATTGAAGTGACCAATATATAATAAGCTATTTGAGCTAGAAAAAAAGTTAGCATGATAATCATATATCATATATATATAAACATATATGCTGGCATTAGTAACAATTTACCCAAAGAAACACTTTATATGTATACGATATGTTTTTTTTTTTTTAGAGATTGAAAATTCTTTTTTTTTAAATTAAATTAAATTTTTTTGAGTCAAGGTCTTACTTTGTCACCCAGGCAGAAGTGCAGTAGCATGATCATGGCTCACCGCAGTCTCCAACTCCTGGACTCAAGCAATCTTCCTACTCAGCCTCCTGAGGGACTACAGGTGCATGCCACCTCACCCTGCTCATTATGTTGCCTAGGCTGGTCTTGAACTCTGGGTTCAAGCAATCCTTCCATCTCAGTGTCCAAAAGTGCTGGGATTATAAGTGTGAGCCACTGTGCCTTGCCGGAAATTTCTTTTTAACAAAATTTCTCAGACGGGTGTGGTGGCTCATTCCTGTAATCCCAGTAATTTGGGAGGCTGAGGCGAGAGGATCACCTGAGCCCAGGGGTTCGAGACCACCCCAGGCGACTTGGCCAGACATCATCTCCACAATAAAAAAAAATTAGCTGGGTGTGGTAGTGAATGCCTGTGTTTCCAGCTACTTGGAAGGCTGAGGCAGGAGGATTGCCTGAGCCCAAAAGGGTAAGGCTGTGGTGGCCATGAGTGTCCCACTCACTCCAGCCTGTGTTACAGAGTGAGACACTGACTCAAAAGAAATTTCTCAAATTTCTTTATGGGTGATAGATTTATCAGTATTTATTGTACACATTCCATATTTTCTAAACTTTTCTTTTTTTTTTAGATTTAAAAATATACTTTATTTAAAAGTAAATTAGAGAGAGAAAGAGAAAGGAGAGAAAAGATTCACCTCCCCAAGGTGGGGGCCATAACTCAAAGAGCACATAGCCACACCAGAGTCTAGCAGGGCAGTGGCCACTAAGTCTTTCTTTCTTTTTTTAAAATTTAATTTAATTTTAAAGTTGTGGGGTACAAGCCAGCATTGCGTACATAAGTGGTTTAGGTACAGGCGAAGCTTTGGGCCCCCCAGTGGGCCTCACTTCACCTGGATCAGGATCAGGCACCCCTATTGATGTTATGTGACCCCCTCCTGCCCTGGCAGGGTCCCTTTTTGGTAGTATTAGGATAGGTGTTCAGGGTCCACTTATGAGTAAGAACTTGTGGTACTCAGATCTTTGTTTCTGTGATAGATCACTAAGTATGATAGACTCCAAGTCCATGCAAGTTGCTGTGAAGTCTATAATTTTGTCCTTCTTTATGACTGCACAATATTCCTTCACGTATATACCATGTTTTTAAAATCCAGTTCAGTTTCAATGGGCAGCACGGTTGGTTTCATGTTTTTGCTATTGTGAATAGTGTTGCAATAAACGTGTGTGCAGGTATCTTTTTGTAGAATGATTTGAGTTTCTAAGCTTTTCTTACATTTATAATAGTAGAAAGGCAAAAATAAAGTAAAACCTATTATTGTCAAAAACAAGCTGTAGAGTCTTTAAAAGGTAAATATATCAATGTGTGCAGACCCAGCATCATTTACTATCACCACGTACAAGACCTATCTATCCATTCTCCTTACCCCTCTCCTACAAAACTGGTTCACATAAACAGGGGCTTTAGAACAATATGCCCTTCTCCAAAGTCTTTTGGCAGAATTAGGTGGAAATTAGATTGCACAGGAAATTCTCAAAACAAAATCTGGGAGTAGCTGAGTATGATAGCCCTCTTCTGGGGAAATAAGAAAATGCAACAACCCCAAAGGATCTTGCCTGGATCAAGAGGATATAGTGGGCATTCAAAGGGTGTTTGCTGCAATCTCATTTACAATAGCTACAAAACATTAAAAAAAAAAAAATCCAGGAATAAAATTGATCAAAGAAGTGAAAAATCTCCTCCACAAGGAAAACTATAAAACACTGATGAAAGAAATTGAAAACACAAAAAAAGTGGAAGATACCCCATGCTCATGGATTGGAAGAATTAATCATGTTAAGATGTCTATATTACCCAAAGTGCTCTATAGATTCAGTGCCATCCTTATAAAAATACCAATGCTGAAAACAATAAAATGTTTAAGAAAGAAAAAAAATTAGGAAGGAATGGGATAGTGAAAAAAATAAAATTTAAAAAAAAGAAAAAATACCAATGCCAATCTTCATAGAAATAGAAAATAACAATTCAAAAATTTGTATGGAATTACAAAAGCCCCTAAAGAATTGCCAGTCTGTTTAATAAATGATGCTGGGAAAACTGGATATCCATATACAGGAACTAGCATCCATCTTACAGTATATACAAAAATCAACTCAAAATAGATTAATGGCCAGGCGTGGTGGCTCACACCTGTAATCCCAGCACTTTGGGAGGCCAAGGTGGGAAGACTGCTTGAGCCAAGGAGTTCAACACCAGCCTAGTGAGATCTCATACTTACAAAAAAATAAAAAAATTAGCTAGGCATGGTGGTGTGCACCTGGAGTCTCAGCTACTTGGGAGGCCGAGACAGAAGGATCACCTGAGCCCAAGAGGTTGATGCCCTGGTGAGCTGTAGTTATGCCACTGCACTCCAGTCTGGGACACAGAGTGAGACCCTGTGTCTCAAAAAATAAACAAACAAAAATAGGTTAAGGACTAAAATGTAAGACAAACTATTAAATGACTTAAAAAACAGAAAAACAGGGAAATGATACAGGATATAGGTCTGGGCAAAGATTCTGGGGGTAAAACCTCAAAAGCACAGGCAACAGAAGCAAGAATAGACAAATGGGATTACATCAACCTAAAAAGCTGCATAGTAAAAAAAAACAATTAAAGTGAAGAGACAAGCTACAACATGGGAGAAAGTGTTTACAGACTATCCATCTAAAAAAGGGACTAACAATCAGAATATAAAAGGAATTCAAACAACTCAATAGCAAAAAAACAAACAACCCTATTAAAAAATGGGCAAAAGATCTGAATACACATTTCTCAAAAGAAGACACACCAATGGTCAACAGGTGTATGAAAAATGCTCAACATCACGAATCAGCAGGGAAATGCAAATCAAAACCACACTGGATATCCTCATTCTGGTTAAAATAAAAAAGATAAAATTTAAAAATGCTGGCAAGGATGTAGAGAAAGGGAAACACTCATACACTGGATGGAAACTGGCATGATGGAAAAATCTGCAGCTTCCTCAAAAAACTAAATAGAACTACCATATGATCCAGCAATCCTATTGCACCGTGTCCATCTACAGGAAAAGAAAATGCAGTATATATATGCAGAATATTATTCAGTCATAAAAAAGAATGACTGTAGCAACATTGATGGAACTGGAGGTCACTGTATTAAGTGAAATAAGCCAAGCAAAGAAAAACAAATACTGCATGTTCTCACTCACATGCGGAAGCTCTAAAATTGGACTTCACGGAGACATGGAGTTGAATGGTGGCTACCAGAGGCTGGGAATGGAAGGAGGGAGGTGGGAATGAAAACTGGTGGCCGGAAACGGCCACTGCACTCCAGTCTGGGCAACCGAGTGAGACTCCAACTCAAAAAAAAAAAAGAAAAAGAAAGAAAAGCAGCTGGTTAGTGGGTACAAAAATACAGTTAGAAGGAATATGTTCTAGTATTCTACAGTAAAGTAGGGAAATTACAGTTAATTATAACTTATGGTATATTTCAAAATAGATAGAACTGTAATGTTACCAACATTACAAAAATGTTTGAGGTGATGGATAGCCTAAATACTCTGACTTGATCGTTACACATTGCATACATGTATCATAATGTCACATGTGCCCCAAAATATGTACAGCTATTAATACCAATAACAAAAGTTTTAAAGAAAGGTATTTGGTGAATAAGTGGCTTGTGGCTTTCCATTTTGTTTAAGCAGCAAAAAGTAGTTTCTCTATATGGTCTTCAGTGGAGACCCACCGGCCTGCATCTTAGGAAACCTGGATTCATCTTGACTTCTCATGAAGAATGTAATAACATATTTCTAAGAGGAGATGCACACTGACAGACTGTGACAGGCTTAAGATTATTGAATGCTTGAGCTAAAAGGCCATTTTGGAAGTGGAAGTGTAAATACTTTAAATGCTTATTTCTGTAAAGATTGAGTATGTGTTTAAAATCTGAGTCTCAGGTTTTAATCTGTAAAACTCAGAGCAATAGTACCTCACAAGTCATTCTGAATATAATGCTTAAAAATGCAGTTACTAAGCATAGTGCTCAGCAGACAGGAAATGCTTTATTAATGACAGTCACTATTATTATTAGAGACAGGGTCTTGCTCTGTCGCCCAGGCTGATGTGTACTCACTCTAACCTCAAGCTCCTGGACTCAAGTAATCCTCCTGCTTCAGTCTCCCAAGTAGCTGGGACTACAGGTGTGCACCACCATACCTGGCTAATTTTTAAAATTTTTTTGTAGAGCCGAGGTATTGCTATGTTGCCCAGGCTGGTCTTACTCCTGGACAGCCATTATTTTTAGTTTTTACTCACGTTTCATAGTCTTTGCAGTACTCAGTACTCATCTTATCTAATACAACAATTTCTTCATATTTACAAAAAAGGACTCTAAGGAATCTCAGAGATTGCGTCTAAGAAAAATACAAATGTGTGTTTGTGTAGCTTTAAAAAGAGTGATATATAGCTAAAAAAGAAAACATGATAAACTAAGATTTGTTCACTAAAAACCTGTTTATTAAGGTATTAATGTTTTATATGGTTGATTCAATATTTCTTGTGCAACTTAAAATCCCAAGTCACCCTTCAATAATTGGGATGTTTACAATATAGACATTTATACAAATCACTATGCTTACCAATGCCTAACATAACTTCTTTCCTATAACCTCCATTTGCCTGATACATAAAACACTAACCTTTCAAAGTCACCACAACTTAAGGAACTCACAAAATTATTATTATTCCTCCAGTTTTCAGTAGTACATTTAAATCTTCTTAAAAGAGGAAGCCAAAACCCCAAAGTAAAAAGCCTTAACCTAAACCAACACTGAGAAACAGTAGTGGAAGAAGCTCTTTTATTTATCACAGAGAGCAAAAATACAGACTATGCTTATTAATTAATTTTCCACTAAAGAGAACAGACTTGGTATTTAGAGGGTAAACGACTAGTTGTCAGGACTTGCTTTCGGAGAATGATCGATGAGTGCCTTGTCAATGGTTGGATACTGGTACCAGGGTCCATCTCCTCTCTGACGCATTAACCTTCGGACTTCCCGCTCCTTTAACCTGTAACAGATGGAATAGCAATATTGGAATTCCAGCACCTCCAATTACAAATTTAACACATTATCTCCACAAAAATACCCACTAGAGTCTTTTCTTTATGTAAAGAGTGTCCCTCCACAGACCCATGTGTAGGCATATATCCAGGATATATCTACAGGCAAAGTTTGAGACTTATTTTTGACTTTATTATCTTGTTTAGGTAGTTAACCATCGAACAGTTTTCATCACAAAAACATCACTTGAATTGATATTCAAATCTCTCCTTCACTGCTCTTTGGACAGATCATTTTCACCTGAATTGTGACAATGCTTTTCCTGTCTTTCTCTCTATATCTATCTATCTAATCGGCCACCACACCTGGCTAATTTTTAAATTTATTGTAGAGACAAAGTCTTGCCAAGTTGCCCAGGCTGGCCTGGAACCCCTGGGCTCAGGCAATCTTCTCGCCACCACCCCCTAAAGTGTTGGGATTACTGGCATGAGCCACCATGCCCAGCTTCTTCTCATCTTTTAGATGATAGGATACTCATTTACAGAACGTCTTCTATTATGACCATATTCTGTGCCATGTGCTAGGAATTAAAACATGAATACCCTTTCTCAGAGGAGTTCACAACCTGTCTATACTGGCTGCCCATCACCGTTAAGACATGCAACTTCTTGAGAGTAGAACTGGTATCTTATTTACCAGCGTTATACTATGCCTGACCAACATCAGATACTCCATCAATATTTGTAAAGAAAAGGAAAGCAAGAAAAATCAGGATTAGGAAAAACATTATCCAGCTCTCAAATCTACTTACTTATCCTCATCCTTCTTCATAAAGTGAATGATCTCTATTCTACAGAAGTGCCTTCTCCCTGCCACAGCTAAACCTCTGCATAAACGACCACATTCCTGAAGCAGTCCCTTCCCCATAAAGTCTTTCACTTTCCATTTTATAGACTATATACTAACTTTCCACAGGACTGGAAATTTGTCACAGCTACTTTATTAACCTTAATCAGCTCACCAACCCTATGAGAGATGATATACCTTTGTGATGACATATTTAAGAGAGTATGTTTATTTACCACTTTTAAATGATTAAATATCATCCTCTTCCTTTTCTACTCTTTAGAATACAATTATCTAAAATATGAGTAGTTAAAATATTCATCAACAGAGGATTCCTTGGTTAAATAAATTATGGTTCACCCATATAATGGACTACTATGTACCTGGTAAAAAGAATAACCAGCCGGGCTCGGTGGCTCAGCCTGTAATCTCGCGCCTTGGGAGGCTGAGATGAGTGGATTGCCTGAGCCCGTGGGTTCGAGACCCGCCTGGGCAACTTGGTGAGACCTCACCTCTACAATAAATCAAAAAATTAGCCAGGCGTGTAGCACACGCCTATAATTCCAGCTACTTGGAAGGCTGAGGTGAAAGGATCGCCAGAGCCCCAGCAGGTTGAGGCTGCAGTGGCCGGCAGCGGCCACTGCACTCCAGTCTGGGCGACAGTGAGACTCCAACTCAAAAAAAAAAAAAAAAGAATAAGCAGAAACTATATGTAGTAACATGGGAGGAGATGACAGATATGCCATTATGTTTTTTTTAAAAAGGTACGAGTATGAGGGGATCCCTAAAAAAACTGGAATTATTTGTTTGGAGAGCAGACCCCTTGTAGTACAGGCTTTCCCTGCTGGGTGAGTGTTCTAGGAACTCATCGGCATCAGTGTATCAGCTATCATTGTTGTGAGAAGTTGTGCTTGGCTTCAGTGAACTTTTTTATGGAGATTTTTTTCAACATGTTTGCCCACTTCATGATGGGTGATTTACACAAAAAACCTACCCACACCATGCTGAGTGTTCAGCAGTTTTTGGCCAAAACAACATGATCCCTGAGCCCTACCCTCCCTACTCATGCAATGTCACCCCAGAAACTTTTTTTTGTTTCCCCATGAAAAAAGTTCTTCAAGGGAAGCGTTTTGCTGATGTGGAAGAAATGAAACAAAAAACAGCAGAAGCACTAAAAGGCATCAAAATATATGAGTTCAACTGTTTTGAGCAGTGGAAAACATATCTTAATATGTGTATTACATCAGACAGAGAATACTTTGAAGGTGACTGAAGTTTAGACATGTAAGAATAAGCATACAATTTTTTATAAACAAATTCTGGTTTTTTGGGGTCCTCTCTTGTATGTGTAGCACCTTCCCATTTCATTAAAAATCAAGGTTGGAGCCAGGCTCGGTAGCTCAGCCTGTAATCCCAGTGCTTTGGGAGGCTGAGGTGAGTGGATTGCCTGAGCCCCTGGGTTCAAGACCCACCCGGGCAACTTGGCGAGACCTCATCTCTACAAAAAATAAAAAATTAGCCAGGCATGGTAGCGTGCGCCTGTAGTTCCAGCTACTTGGAAGGCTGAGGCAGAAGGCTCGCTGGAGCCCAGCAGGTTGAGGCTGCAGTGGCCGGAAGTGGCCAATGAACTCCAGTCTGGGTGACAGAGTGAGACTCCAACTCAAAAAAAAAAAAAAAAAAAAAAAAAAAATCAAGGCTGGGCTAGGTGGCTCAGCCTGTAATCCCAACACTTTGGGAGGCTGAGGTGAGTGGATTGCCTGAGCCTGAGTGTTTGAGACCAGATCAGGCAATTTGGCAAGACCTCATCCTAAGTAAGTCAAAAATTAGCCAGGGATAGTAGCACGTGCCTGTAGTTCTGGCTACTTGGAAGGCTGAGGCAAAAGGGTCACCAGAGCCTAGCAGGTCAACACTGGGGTGGCCGTGAGTGTATCACTGCAATCCAGCCTGGGCGACAGCAGAGTGAGACTCCAATTCAAAAAAAGAAAAAAACAAAAAAAAACAGTAAGTAAGCCAGAAGCAGTGGTAGGCACCTGTAGTCCTGTAGTGCCAGTTACTTACTTGGGAGACTGAGACAGGAGGATTGCTCAAGCCCAGGAGTTCAAGTTCAGTCTGTGCAACAAAGCAAGATCCTATCTCTTAAACACATACACACACACACCAAAACAGTAAGTAACCATTTGTGAACATGTATTATATATACATGCAAGGTTTAAAACCATGGAGGCCTGGGCAACATGGTAAGACCTCGACTCTACAACAAAAACCAAAAAATTAAGTGAGCATGGTAGCGTGTGCCTGTAGTTCCGACTACTTGGAAGTCTGAGGCGGAAAGATCGCCAGAGCCCAGCAGGTAGAAGCTGGTGTGGCCGTGAATGAGTGTGTCAATGCACTCCAGTCTGAGCGACGGAGTGAGACTCCAACTAAAAAAATAAAATAAAATAAAACTGTGGAGGACTAAAAATAACAGTTATCGTTAGGGGAGTCAATTATAGGGGCCAGCCTCCTTCTATGTTTATATATTTCTTTGATGTTTCAATTTTCGAATATCTACATGTGGACCTCTTGCAACTCTAGACACTCCCCATTCCATGCTCACACTGGCATCTTCCTTTTAGAGGCAGAAGTCAGAAGTGGTTTTTTTTGTTGTTGTTGGTCTGTTTTCCCTTTGTTTTGTTTTATAAATGTTTAGGATCTCTCTATGTCTAATAGGATCTGGTCTTTTAACTGGAACTCAAAGTATGTGTCTGGCTGAGTGGGGTGGCTCACATATGTAGCCCCAGCATTTTGGGAGGCCAGTGCAGGAGGTTGCTTGAGCCCAGGAGTTTGAGACCAGCCTGGGAAACATAGCAAGACCCTGTTTCTACAAAAAAGAAAAGGAAAAAAAGTATGTGTCTGAAGGAGAAAGTCTTACATTACTAAGTATGAGCTATGTTGCTGTTTCATGCTCTTAAAGCCAGTTCTATATGGTAACTTTATAGGTATGTAACCACAGATCTAGAAATCACAGCCAATCATGTTCTTTCCATCACTTAACTTTTTTTTCAGTATCACAGCAATTTTGATAAGCTACAAAGTTTTAAACAGAATGAACAGAAAGCATATCAATAGTAGCCTGGGGCCAAGAGTAGAGGATGGAGGCTAACTGGAACAAATGGGAAGGAGGCACATGAGGACACCCTAAAGGGTGATTGCAATGAGCTTGATTGTGGTGGTGGTTAGGTAGACACTTCTGTCAAAAACCCATTGAACTTAAAGGGTGTATGTCAACTATAGCTCACTCCTAACACCAAAATTTATCATGGATCAAATCGAACTTAAAAGTAGTGGCTGGGCATGGTGGCTCACGCCTGCAATCCCAGCACTTTGGAAGGCTGAGGTGGGAGGACTGCTGGAGGCTAGAAGTTCGAGACCATCCTGAGTAAAATAGTGAGACCCCCATCTCCACAAAAAATACAAAGAGTAGCCAGGCATGGTGGCATGTGTCTGTAGTTCCAGCTACTTGGGAGGATTGCTTAAGCCCAGGAAGTCAAAGTTGTAGTGAGCTGTGATCATATCACTGCACTCCAGCCTGGGTGACAGAGTGAGGCCATGACTCTAAATAGATAAATAGAATAAAAAATAAAAGTAGTAAAAGAAAACATAAATGAACATTTAAACAAATAATTTGGGAACTATATATTTACTTAATTACTACCAGAGACTTCTGCATGACACCAATTCCCAGAAGCTAAAGAGAAAGACTGGTTAACTTGACAATAATTAAATAAGTGAATATATATGAAGTAATTAAAATACATAATCAGTGCTCACAAATGTATTAGTTACTATTATACATTTGCTATTTAAAAATATTTGTTACAAAAAATTCTTCATTGCCAAAAGACAATAACAATTTGAAAAAATCTATCTACAATAAAAGCAAAAAGCCCTTTTCTAACTAATGTACAAATCAGTAGAAAAATGGGCAATCTATAGAGGAAGAAATACATAACTAACAAATATATTTAAAAAAAAAAAAAAAAAAAACCGGGCTCGGTGGCTCAGCCTGTAATCCCACACTTTGGGAGGCTGAGGTGAGTGGACTGCCTGAGCCCCCAGGTTCGAGACCCGCCTGGGCAACTTGGCGAGACCTCATCTCTACAATAAATCGAAAAAATTAGCCGGGCATGGTAGCGGCACGCCTGTTGTTCCAGCTACTGAAGGCTGAGGCGGAAGGATTGCCGGAGACCAGCGCCAGGAGCAGCCACTGAACTCCAGTCTGGGTGACAGAGTGAGACTCCAACTCAAAAAAAAAAAAAAAAGAAAGACAAGGCTAGGCATGGTGGCTTACACCTGTAATCCCAGCACTTTGAGAGGCCAAGGTGAAAGAATTACTTAAGGCCAGGAGTTTGAGACCAGGCTAGGCAACACAATGAGACCTCGTCTCTATCAGAAAAAAAATAAATAAATAATACAGGCACAGCTGGGACTGGTGGTGCGAGCCTGTAGTCCCAGCTACTTGGGAGACTGAGGCAGAAGGATCACCTGAGCCAGGAGTTCAAGGCTGTGGTGAGCTGTGATCATGCCACTAAACTCTAGCCTGTGCAACAGAGTAAGTCCTCAATTCAAAAAATAAAAATAAAAACAAAATTCAACCTTACAAATAAATATAAAATCAAAATGAGATAAACATTTTTGCTGCTCTGACAGTTGAAAAAAATGTTAAATTTGATAAATTCCATGACTGAGAAACACAGAAAACTGAGACAGAAACTGATGGGAAAAAACAACTGGTGCAGCTTTCTGTAGAAGAATTGGCAACATATACCCAAAATTTAAAAGCATATACTATTTAGCTTATCCATGCCATTGCTAGAAATGCATTTTCCAGATATATTGCATAAGTATGCAAAAAGTATGAGGATATTCACCACAGCATTATGTATAACAGCAGAAAGAAGCTAAGTACCAATAATAGGGACATCCATCCAATAAAATATACAATGTGGCCATTAAAAAGAACGGGCTGTCTGCCATTACGGAAAGGTCATCAAGTTATGGTAAGTGAAACAAAGACAAGGTACAAAAACAGTGTTCATAAGAGGACTCTACTGGGATTAATATACTTTTATTTATTTATTTATTTATTTTGAGTTAGAGTCTCACTCTGTCGCCCAGACTGGAGTACAGTGGCCGCTCCCGGCCACCGCAGCCTCAGCCCGCTGGGCTCCGGCGATCCTTCCGCCTCAGCCTTCCGCGTAGCCAGAATTACAGGCGTGCGCTACCACACCTGGCTAATTTTTTTTTATTTTATTGTAGAGATGAGGTCTTGCCTGCCCAGGCGGGTTTCGAACCCGCAGGCTCAGGCAATCCACTCACCTCAGCCTTCCAAAGGGGCAGGATTACTGGCTGAGCCATCGAGCCCGGCTTAATATACTTTAAAAATGATATTATATTAATAGAATATATTTTTTTCTAGGAATGTACAATAGAAATTGTTAAATAGGAGTCACTTCTACGAGTGAGACTACATGTAGAAGGAAGGAAATCGTGGGGCAGAGAAGAGGGCTGCCCTGCACATGAAAGAATATGATAATCAAACAAGAATTCCTTTAATCTGACAGGTATCTCCTAGTGGTCTTCTTGTCACCAGTTCATAATCTCCACTCTAACAGTCTAATGTTCCTATCTTTATCTTTTTAGATAGAATATCCAAAGGTGCTCATTTAGCTTTAATACCTTTTTTCTTGTAGGTTGCAAGCTTAGGAAAGGATTTCCTTCCCCACCCACACCTTTATTTTTCCTACCTTAAATCAGCCTTTTCAGTTTCAATTTGAAGGATAGCCATTGTTTTTTCATAATTCTTTTCAGGACAATCATAGAAAGTACGGGCAATCCATCTTGATATAGGATGCTACAAGAGAAAATTTGCTTAAAATGAGTCAATTTCTGAACAACACTTTGCTTTCCTATTTGACTTGTTTAAAATGATCAACTCAGATAAAATAATAACATCTACTATTGTGTGTGTGTACATATATATATATATATTTTTTTTTTTTTTTTTTTTTTTTTTTTTTTTTTTTTTGAGTCTGAGTCTCAGTCTGTCTCCCAGGCTGGAGTGCAGTGGCATGCTCACAGATACTGCAGCTTCAACCTGCTGGGCTCAGGCAATCCTTCCACTTCAACCTTCCAAGTAGGTGGAGCTACAGGTACACACCACCATGCCCAGCTAATTTTTTATTTATTGTAGAGACGAGGTCTCACCAAGTTGTCCAGGCTGGTCTCAAAGTCCTGGTCTCAAGCAGTCCTCTCATCTCTGCCTCCCAAAGTGCTGAGATTGCAGGTGTGAGCCACTGTGTCCAGCTACTTTATATATATATATATATATTTTAATAATTTTAATCCACTAGGTGAATACTATTTTTGTCTCCATTTTAGAGACAAGAAAACTGCATAAAGTTATACAGCTAGTAAGTGGTAGCATCTGGATTTAAATCAAGTCTGACTTGAAAGCCTGTGTCCTTTTCCATTACACCATGCTGAGTATCTTACATGGCAGATTCAAGAGCCAAACTCAGGCTTCAGTGATCCAAATACAGAGCCTTTGCACTAATAAGCACAAATAAACTAACTGTATACGGTTTACCTTAAGACTCACTGATGAAGCATTTCTTTTCTAACATATAATTCATTCAGATAATGAAACATGATCGAATATGCTCTATTCAAGGCAATCTCACTACAGTACTTGTAAAGACAACAGAATTAATTTGGGGTTTTGGTAGCAGTGACAGTATGGAGTAATGACTAGCAGTGCAAGGCTCTGGAGTCAAGGCTGTCTGGGTTCAAATACCAGCCCCATTTCTTGGACAGGTCACTTCACTTCTTTTAAGTCTCAGTTTCTTCATCTCTGAAGAGAAAATAATAATAGTACCTTTTACATGGGATGAGTTAACATTTGTAAAACACTTACCACAGTGCCTCCTACACAGCAGGTACTTAATATTTATTTAAATGACAGCTAGCATTAATATTGGCAAATATTTCCTAATGCATTGGACTTAGGATACACTCTGTCACTCTGCTAATTAAGAACACACAGCAAAGTCATTGTTTTAAAAGCCGTAGAGCTAAAAATAACAAAAACAATGAAAAAAAGTACCAAGAGTGGCTGGTTGTAAAAAGTAGCAAAAATGCATCGTATACTTGTATCAAAAATTAGATATAAAATTATATCATAATTACAGAAGTAAGATATAAACCAGTGCATTGACAGGAGATCTAACTGAAAGTGATTTTCTATACAAACCTTGTAATATTCCCAGTGTTCTGGAATATAGCCTTCTGGGATTTCTGCTAATTCAGCTTCACCTAATAAGAGAAAATAGTGGTGTTCAACTATAGCATTAGGAATGTATAATATTAATTTTTCACCATGAAAGTAAGAAATCAACTTCTTGTGGTTTTAAAGGACCTTTTCCTTTACTCATCCCAATGAAGATATGCAATATTGTAAATGGTTGACTTTCATTCATTAGATATATTTTAGACTTCCTCTGTGTGTAAGACATTGTCTAAAGGCATATGAGTGTTTCCTATTTTGTTTTTATATAATGTAACAAGATACAATAAAAAGACATTGTTATTCCTTCTGGTCTTCCCTGTATCAACAGACAAAACATTTTGAGTTAAGATGTTAGAAGTACCTTGAACAGAATTTCTCATGAAAATCTATTTGCTGTCATTCACACTGCATTCTTTTTTGGAGGATTATACTTTTCTTTTTCTTTCTTTCTACATATATATATTTTTTTGAGTTTGAGTCTCATTCTGCCACCTAGGCTAGAGTACAGTGGCATGCTCAAGGCTAGCACAGTCTTGACCTACTGCACTCAAGTGAGCCTTCTGCCCAAGCCTTCCAAGTAGCTGAGGATTCAGGTATGTGTCACTATGCCTTACTAAGTTTTTGATTTATTGTAGAAAGGAGGTCTCAGCAAGTTGCCCAGACTGGTCTCAAACCCCTGGGCTCAGGCAATCCTCTTGCCTCTGCCTTCAAAGTGCTGGGATTACAGGTGTGAGCCACCATGCTTGGCTGAGGATTATAGTTTTCTATGTTCCAGGATAAATTTTAAAATTCTCATTCTCAGTCTCTCTTGTGGATTTACTTCTGTCTCTTTCTACTTTCCTTAGTCAGACCTATCAAAGCTGGTTTGGGGGAATGAGGGGGAGGAAGATGAAGCTTTTGAAAGCCTCTACGTGGCCCCTACAGAAATGGTGACCTAAAAAGGTTTTTGGAGGGAAAAAAGTAATAAAAGAAAAAAGTACTGTACACTACTGCAGATTAAGATTTGGTTATGTTAAAATAAATTGCCTGGGGAAGGTGAGTGAGGGGAATTCAGGAGTTCTGAGCAAAAAAAAAAAAAAGATTGCCATGCTTCTGTTTATTTTATCATCTAAAGAGTTACTCATTACAATAGCCATAATTTCTCGTTACTAACGTACATTTGTCTTAAAAATTGTTCAAAGTGGTGGGGCCGGGGGGGGGGGGGTGCAGAGAGTAGGCAGTGACTTACCAATGAATATATTCACCAGAGTTATGACAACTGCTACCGGAATCCCAGTCAACAAAATGTAGAATTTCTGTTAAGATAAAAATAAATCCATAACCATTGTTTGGTTCTTAAGGAAAAAAAAAAAGAGAGAGAAATAAATAAAAAGTTAATCCCACGACCCTTTCCTAACTCTGCTCACCCTCAAATTATCCTCATCATGGGATTCTATTTCTTATAAAATAAACTTGTCAAATTGAGGATACAGTAGCAGATTATTGATTTCAGAGATTTTCTTTTGTTCAAGTTTTAGATGCCCATATTTAGCACCAAAAATGAAAGAAAAAAGATTAATCATACAAGTGTAATATATGATTTAAAAACTTTTTACTTTTTTGTTAAAGCAATGTCATGGAAGTTAGAAAGTAGTGTATGAAGTTGACTGGGCATGGTGACTCATGCCTGTAATCCCAGGGGAGGCCAAGGCAGGAAGATTGTCTGAGCTCAAGAGTTCCAGACCAGTCTGGGTAACATAGCAAGACCTCATCTCTACAAAAAATAAAAAAAATCAGCCAGGCATGGTGACACATGCCTGTAGACCCAGATACTTGGGAGGCTGAGGTGGAAGAACTGTCTGAGTCCAGAAGGTCAAGGCTGTGGTGAGCCATGATTGTGCCACTGTACTCCAGCCTGGGCAACAAAAAGACCCCAACTAAATATATATATATTATATTATATTAAGAACAAAAGTATAAAAACATTAGGGTGGTCTCCACCACTGAATAGGGTTTGAATTGGACATGACAAGGAAAGAAGGTGGTCACCTAGAAGATGAGGGTGGCATTGAGCACTGAGGGAGGACAAGAGATAGTCTCAAGAGCAACCAGTACTCAAATGTTGATTAAGAGCTTTATAAACAGTGGCAGAGAGTTCAGATAATCTTCATTTTCTAAGGTTCTACTTTGTTCTTATGGAATCTTGAGATACAAATATACAATTGGTACTCTAAATGAACAGTGTAGCTATATTATTGCTAATTAAGATTGCACTATAGGTCCATGCTACTCTCTGAAATCAATGTCCCTAGACAACATATTAACACATAATCGTATCCCAAAATAATGTAGCTTATTTATTTCTTTATGAATTAAGTGAGAATCTGACTCTGTCACCTAGGTTGGAGCGCAGTGGCCTGCTCACAGCCACTGCAGCCTCAACCTGCTGGGCTCAGGTGATCCTACTGCCTCACCCTTCCAAGTAGCTGGAACTATAGGTGCGTGCTACCATGCCTGCTAAGTTTTTGGTCTCTCCAAGTTGCCCACGCTCGTCTTGAACCCCTGGACTCAGGCAATCCTCTCGCCTCCATCTCCCAAAGTGCTGGGATCATAGGCATGAACCACTGTGTCCAGTCAGCTTCTTTATTTAAAGAAATCTTTCAATAAGTTCTTTGGTAATTTAAAGAACATTTTAGTCATATAAATAATCTTCTTCACAGGAATCAATTTTTAAAGTTTTATAATTTGCAGATTTTTTTTACTCTTAAAGCAAGCAACATAAATTATGTTTCAAAACATCAAAATCTTGAGAAGTAAGGAATGGGCTAAATTTTTACCTCCAATTCATTTGGAGGTAAAAATTTATTTATTTATTTAACTCTCCCCAGCTCCCCCAACTTTTGCTAGTAAATGAGAATATTTATTTATTTATTTGGAGGCAAAAATTTATTTATTTATTTAACTTCTCCCCCAGTCCCCCCAAGTTTTGCTAGTAAATATTTATTTATTTATTTAGAGGTCTCACTCTGTCATACAGACCAGAGGTGCAGTGGCATGATCATGGCTCACCACAGCCTTGAACTCCTGAGTTCAAGTTATACTTTCTCCTCAGCCAACCAAGTAGCTGGGTCTACAGGTGTGCTCCATTATGCCCAGCTAATTTGTTGATTTTTTTGTAGGGACGAGGTCTTGCTATGCTGCCTCAGCTGGTCTCAAACTTCTGTGCTCAAACAATCCTCCTGCCTCGGTCTACCAAAGTGCAGGATTACAGGCATGAGCCACTATACCTGGCCTGAATCCTTTTTTTGAAGGAAAAGTTTGCTAAAAAGAGATTCAGTAACAAAATAAGACTTTACTAAATAATTCCAGTATCTTCTGAGGAAAGAAATGTAAGTTTATAAAATAAAATAATATTTAAAAAGAATATATTTTTAAAAGAGGCAATAAAAATTTCTTATTTGTATCAAAAGAATTTAGTTCAACAAAAAAAAAATTAACTTACCAACAATTTCAAAAAACGCATGTCATAGAATCTAGAAGGTCTGATGACAAACAATCTTTTCCCATAGTCTCCACTGTGTCGAACAGGAGCTGGAAATATTAAATTACTCTGTTTTATGCAAGGTTCATATGGGTATATACTCTTATATACTCAGATAATAAGGAAATATATATGCATATAGATGTGTAATAAAAATTAAGATTAAAAATGCATTTTTATTTGAGTACCAACACCAGGGCAAATAAAATAAAAAATCTTTAAACGAAGACTAATGTACTGTTCTAAACTATAACTCTATTTTAATTCAATGTTAAAGAACTATCTAAACAATCGTTTCAATTTGTTTCAATCACAGTAAGGGTAATCAGACACTCTTGGTGAGTTGAGCATCTTTCTATCCTCTACAACAAGTATTTGCTAATGCTGCAAAAATACATTTAATTTAAATTATGTCATTTCATATGATACACTATCAATACGCATTAGGGGACTGCTGAAAAATAGATGGAAGGGAGCAGAAGTATTTATTCACCAAATCTCTAGCAAGTATTTGTTACAAAACTACACACACTAAAATATCTTGGTTAAATCCTTTTCAAGTCATTTCTGATTAGGAATAGCCTCCTCTCCAAATTTTCTCCCTGATGGAATTTTAATCACACCTTGATGGAGATGAAGGCAAAATTTCCTTCCTGGATTCTCTTTCTACACTCTTCCCTTTTGGAGGTCTGGAGGGATCACTACCAGCATTTCAAGCCCTCTTGGGAGCAAGAAAGGATCTAGCTGTTACTGAGAAACTGAAGGTTACTATGTTTCTGCTGTGTAACTGCACTCAAGGATATTTTGCATGTAAGTCACCATGAAATGAAATTTCCCATTTAATTTCTCACTAAAGGAATTTCAGTCCTAATTTCAGTCCTAATAGGAAAGTCTGTATCCTTTGTTCATGTTTAAGGTTTGGAATGTCCTCTCCTCTCCTGAAAGCTACTTTAGGACCAGATGACATCTTAGAAATCAATATTCTAGTGACGCATATACTTGCTTTTCCTGCTGCCACTTTTCAATATAAACAGCTAGAAGGAAAGACATATCTTCTTAATTTTTGGTAGCTCCTGTGATAGCTTGCAATGAATTTAGGAGGTTAATTCATAAGGGAATTAGGAAGTGGCATGAATTTATCAAGTATAATTTTTTTTTGAGTCGGAGTCTCACTCTCACCCAGGCTGTAGTGCAGTGGCACGTTCACGGACACAGCAGCCTCGACATGCTGGGCTCAGGTGAGCATTCCACCTCAGTCTTCCAAGTAATTAAATCACAGGCATGCATCACCACACCCAGCTAATTTTTAAATTTATTGTAAAGACAAGGTCTTGCCATGTTGCACAGGCTGGTCTCAAATCCTGGGCTCAGGCAATCCTCTCACCTCGGCCTCTCAAAGTGCTGGGATTACAGGTGTGAGCCACCATGCATGGCCATTAAATATAATTCTTACTACTAAGGCTTCTAAAATAACAAAATTAAGAGAATTTCACAAAAAGAGTATAGATTTCAGCAAATCATGTGAAAGATACCTAATAGATTTTTTTTGTGGATTTGATGAAGAAAATGGGCTGGATGACAGGATAAACCACTCATTAATTCAATAAGTATTCAAGTGCCTACTATATGCAGATCCTGTGCTATGCCTACTGTCTAAGAGGGATACAGATCCCTGCTGAGAAAAATAGAAACTACACAGAAAACTACAAATGTACATAGTTGTAACAAGGGAGAGAAACAGGATGCAATATTAGAAAAGAACAGGCCCAGAAGGAAAGTTCCTATTTAGACAAGATAGGGGAGGGAGGAAGGGACATTACAAGCCGAGAAGGAGCAAGTTAGATGAATTTATAATGGATAACTGATTGATTACACTCAAAAGGTACTGATTAATTCATGCGTAAGCTGCCAAAGGAACGTCTCAAAAGCCCTGCAGCTTCAAGATGTTTATGAATGGCCTGTGAGGTAGAGACAGCATTCCTGACTTGCTGAGTTTTGGAAGCAAAGCCACTGCTACAAGAGTGCAAGAGTGGCTAATACACTGATAATGACACAGAATCTCAAGGGACACACTTACCAAAGGCTGAATCTAAAAGGATTACATAAAAGGTCAAGCCCAGATAACCTCAAATTTTAGTTGCTCACAAAAAAAGCCAAAGATCAATTCAGTCTTGATCTGATGTACTAGAATAACAGGGTTAAAACTGGATGCTCTTCCCTGTACCCCATGGCCTTACTATACCTGCAGACATGTGTCCACTCCAGAGCACACCCTTTTAGAGAGACAGTCTCAACTTAAGCAACCAGGAAGGCAAACAACCTGGAAACTGACAGACTGAAACTGAAAAAACTGAAGCTGATCGGCCTATAGGTAAAGACAAGATAAACGTGTTTGCACAGCTAAAGAGCTATCCCATGACACAGGATTTACACTATGCTGTGTCGCCTTGCAAGGAAGAATTGGGATATGTGAAGGGGTGATTTTCAGCTTAAGATGGGGAAGTTTCTAGTTATTTTAGTGGCTGAAAATAAAACTGGCCTGCCTCACCAGGGCCCCATTATGGAGTCATTCAAGTGTCAATAACAGGTGTAACAAGGATTAGTATAATGTGGGGTTTAGCTTGGAAGATTTCTAAGGCTCTTCCCCTCAGAGAATCTGAATATCTGAACTTTCTTCAAATGAAAAGACATACCTTTCCAACTCATCTCCTTCATCACTTTCCTTCCAATTCCAAGAACTTCCCTACATCAGTTTTTGTGCTTACTTTCCCCTCTTGCCTCGAATGCTTTGCCCCAGGCTCTTTGACTCTCATCCTTCAGGGCTAAAATCAAATGACACCTTCTCAGAGAGGACTCTGATTGCCCTAACCAAAGATGGCCCCTCACTATTCCCCTGAATCATCTGGCGACTTCTTCCACAGCACGGAATACCAATCCTACTTATTTTGTTATCAGGCCAGGGACTGTCTTATTCAGTACCATCCCCAGTACCCGTTAGTGTCTGCCACATGATAGGTGTTCTGAAATATTGCTGAATTCACATTTCTTTTTTTTTTTTTAATTTGAGTTTGAGTCTCACTCTTGTAGCCCAGGCTGAAGTGCAGTGGCATGCTCATACCCACCACAGCCTCGACCTGCTGGGCTCCAGGGATCCTTCTGCCTCAACCTTTCAAGTGGCTGGAACTACTGACGCACGCCACCACGCCTGGCTAGTTTTTGTGATTTATTGTAAAGATGAGGTCTCACCAAGTTGCCCAGGTTGGTCTCGGACCCCTGAGCTCAGGCAATCCTCTCGCCTCAGCCTCCCAAAGTGCTGGGATTATAGGCTGACCCAAAGCGCCTGGCCCACATTTCTTCAATGTTGGCAGGGGATCTCTTCCATTCCTAAAAGTATAGTACATTTACTCAAAAGACTTAGTATCTTGAGTTTCCCTTTCAATCCAGACAGACAGACAGACAGACCACACACACACACCCATGGGAAAGAAGATTCAACTATATGTAGTTTTAGGTAACAATGATTACAGATGACACTATTAATTGATATGGAAAATGTAACAAGCCGGGTGCGATGGCTTATTACTGTAATCCCAGCACTTTACAAATAATTACCCAATTGTTAACAACTATTGATATCACTAAATATGCCAGACAACTGTTATTATTATTAACTGCTCTAAAGTATATTTTATAGCACTATTTTGGGGGGGTCGGAGACCCACTCTGTTGCCCCGGCTGGAGTGCGGTGGCACGCTCATGGCCACTGCAGCCTTGACCTGCTGGGCTCAGTGGCTCCTTCCCACCTCAGCCTTCCAAGTAGCTGGAACTACAGGCATGCACCACCATGCCTGGCTAATGTTTTGATTTATTGTAGAGATTAGATCTCACCAAGTTGCCCAGGCAGTTTTTTATTTTTTAAGAGGTGGGGTCTGACTATGTTACCCGAGCTTGCCTCGAATTCCTGGGCTCAAGCAATCCACCCGCCTGTCTCCTGAATTGCTGGATTACAGGCACATGCCACCACGAATGGCTTACACTTGGCTGTTTTAAAAATGTTCTGATTCTTCATGACTTGTCGTTGATGCAGTAGGGCCATCTGCTTACAATCTGAAAGTATTAAGATGAACACTGCTTACAGCCAGGTGACTGCCAGGATTTCTGGGACTCATCCTCCTGCCACCAAAAATAGGCACCTTCCACTACATCTCTAAATCTCGAATTTCCCAACTAGGTATTCATTAATTTTATAGGCCTAAGGCTTCAATAACCAATTTCTAAAAATAAAAACAGTCCTGTGAAAGTTATTAAGTTTTTGTGAGAACTGAATTCTTACTCACTTCATAATGATTTATTCATTCATAATGCAGGAATGTTCTGTGTCAAAGACAACTGAATACTAGTTATTTTCTTTCTCATGCCCAGATAAGGACACCACCACCCCAATTACCCTGACTAAAAATCTGTCATCGTCCTTGTATACCTCCCTCCATTCACCACTCGTCAACACCTCTTAACTCCATTTCTTTCCATGCCTTCTTTTTTTTTTTGAGTTGGAGTCTCACTCTGTCGCCCAGACTGGAGTGCAGTGGCCGCTCCCGGCCACCGCAGCCTCGACCTGCTGGGCTCCGCCGATCCTTCCGCCTCAGCCTTCCGAGTAGCCGGAATTACAGGCGCGCGCTACCACACCCGGCTGATTTTTTGATTTATTGTAGAGATGAGGTCTCGCTGCCCAGGCAGGTCTTGAACCCGCGGGCTCAGGCAATCCACTCACCTCAGCCTCCCAAAGGCGCGGGATTACAGGCTGAGCCACCGAGCCCAGTTCTTTCCATTCCTTCACCTTACTGCCCCAAGTAATCAGCATCCCCATACACTATTCAACATTCCGAAGCACCTTTTGATGCTGCTCTGATGCTAAAGCACTGTTGCCAAAAAATACAGTGAAGACACTTTGGCTTTGTATTCAGGCCCTCTCCTCCCCCAGTTTGGTCCCAACCTCCATTTTCTTCCTTTTCTCCCGAAACCTACCTATCCCAGGAGCCCCACATCCAATCTGAAAACCTACCCTTTACTTTTCTGCCAGTTTCACATGAAAAAACTGTCCCCCTAATTCATTTAAAATGTCACATGTTCCATGCCTGGACTAACTCCCCAGCACTTTATTTATAAATCCATTTTAATACTCTTCTTATTTTTTAAAAACCATAATCGGTATACTCAGTCTTCAACTATAAATTAAAGTAACTTGCAGTTGAGGGGATATCTTAAGTCAGCTCTGGAATTACTTGGTATTTGGTGCTTAACACATAAATTAATTAAAAAGAAAATAATTTTATCTGCTTGTTGTCTGAGAAAGGTTTTCACAGAGTGTGGATGAAGATGTTTAAGAAGGGTGTGGCCAGGCAACCCCCTTGGGTCCTCTCCCACTGTGGAAGCAGTTCTGTCCTCTCAATAAATCCTGCTTTCAAAAAAAAAAAAAGAAGGGTGTGGCCACAGAGCCCCATAGAAGGCTAGTGCCAGGCCTTCAAAGGCACAAACAACAAAACAAAGAATAGACAAATCAGACTTCATGAAAATTTTTAAATCTTATACTACAAAAAACACTATCAGCAGACAAAAAACACTATCACAGAGTGGGATAAAATATTTGAAAATAAAAAATCTAGCCGGGCATGGTAGCATGTGCCTGTAGTTCCAGCTACTTGGAAGGCTGAGGCGGAAGGATCGCCGGAGCCCAGCAGGTCGAGGCTGCGGTGGCCGGGAGCGGCCACTGCACTCCAGTCTGGGCGACAGAGTGAGACTCCAACTCAAAAAAAAAAAAAAAAAAACACAGTAATCCTTAGTATAGAGAGCTGCTATAGTCGTCCCTGTTCCTACTGGAAACGGGGTAGACTCCCTATAATGATCCTTTCAGAACTCCAAAAAGTAGGATAGTGTAGAAAGAAAAACTGGGGGTGAAATTTTACCTTGGTTTACCTCCAGCTGCACTTGATTAAATACTACCTGGGAGAGTATTTGAAGGATCTGTATTTGAATATTTGAGGATATCTGTCATCAGAAATAGTTTAAAAAGGGATTTTATCAAGGAATGTTAGCACATGTAGTTCAAATTCCTACCAGAAATTTGTTGAATATCACTGGTCTTTTCTCTTATGTTTCCAGCAAGACCCTATGAATAGTACCTCATCATGTGAAATGGCATAATTCAAATTAAATTGGGGGAGAGTAAAAACAGAACAAGCATTTTGAACCTGGAAACAATTCTGTCAGTTTTAGGGTAAAAGTTTCACTTCTTTTTCTACTTAGATTGCACAGGGCAAAAAGCTTATAACATAGCTTTGTTTTTTTGTTTTGTTTTGAGTTGGAATCTCACTCTGTTGCCCAGACTGGAGTTCAGTGGCCGCTCCCGGCCAGCGCAGCCTCAACCCACTGGGCTCCAGTGATCTTTCCAAGTAGCTGGAACTACAGGTGCATGCTACCACGCCCAGCTAATTTTTGATTTATTGTAGAGATGAGGTCTGGCCAAGTTGCCCAGGCGGGTCTAAAACCCACGGGCTCAGGCAATCCACTCATCTCAGACTCCCAAAGGCGCGGGATTACAGGCTGAGCCACCGAGCCCGGGTACAACATATCTTTGATTAAGAGGATTAAATGAATTAATACTGTAAAGCAGGGGTATCTAACCTTTTAGCTTCCCTGGGCTGCATCGAGTAAAGAGAAATTGCCTTGGGCTGCATATAAATTATATAGTTAGTGTAGTTACATAACAGTTAAGACTTCTTTTAAAAAAAAATTTTATTATAAAGTTTAGAGAAATGAGAAAATAAAACTAGTGGGAAATTTGACCTAGTTTTTATAAAACTAATCTATCAATGTCTGGTTGGATGGAAATGGTTGCAATTCTTAGTGAGTTCTCAAGGTGCTCTTCAGAAATATTTGTTCAAATTTTGCTCATGTGCTTCATAACTGAAAACAGCTGTTCACAAATGTATGAGCTGCCAAAAAGCGATGTAATGAATAAGGAGTGATTGTGAACTTCAAAAATGGATCTATGCATGGGATCATGAAGAAAATCAATGCTAAGAAATACGATGTTAAACAATTTTGTGAGCAAGGTGCAGTGGCTTAAGCCTGTAATCCCAGCACTTTGAGAGGTAGCAGCAAGAGGATTGCCTGAGCCCAGGGGTTCAAGACCAGCCTGGGCATCTTGGAGAGACCTTGTTTCTACAATAAATCAAAAAATTAGCCAGGCGTGGTGGCGGGCACCTGTGGTTCCAACTACTCGGAAGGCTGAATTGGAAGGATTGCCTGACTCCAACTCAAAAAAAAAAAAAAAAAAAAAAGATTTTGTGGGGTCGCATTACTAGTTATTCTGGGCCGCATGTGGCATGTGGGCCATGGGTTGGCCATGCCTTCTTTAAAGCCTTAGAATGGTGCCTGACATAAAACTATTGCTCAATAAATGTCAGCTGCCATTGTTGTTAATGTAGAATGGTGGTAAATTATTTTTGTAATAACTGAGTTTCCTCATCTGTAAAAAAGGGATAATAACATCGTTAAGAACAAGATAGAAGGAATACCAAGCACTGGATGCTTCGCTATCATGACTATTCCATACACCCATAAAGCAACTCTCACAGTTCCCAAGAGACTCCAAACAGCAGTACTAGGACGGCATTATGACTTGCCTGAGACTTGGGCACTTTTGTCCTCAAGGGCTCCTTCTTCTCCAAGTTATTAAAAATTCTATTTTATGACTGCGTTGGCGTTAAACAAATATAATACAGGCTGAATTCATGATCGCATATTCAATGAAAGTAACAGTCTTAGAAAGAAAAAGAAAAATTCAAGCTAAACACTTTCGTGAGACTATCACGGGCCCTGTAGCCACGGCACCCACGAATGAGTAAGTCGGCCCTGATTCTCTCTACCTGTCTACACACGACTTAGTCTCAGTGGACTCCTCCGCAACACGACCTCTCGTCCCTGGGACTAGAACACAGCCCAGGGCCGGCAGAACGTACCAAGATCTGGTGCCCTCGACACAGGTCTCAACTTTTCCAGCCTCAGCTCCCCCCACAAATCAGCAACAAGTGGGATGGTGAATGGCAAAGCGTTCTGCAAACGCTATGGACCTGATTCCTCCAGGAAAACCCATCGCACTGCTCGAGTTCCTTCTCTCCTCTCAAGCCCCAAGCTCGCGATTTGTCCCGGATCCTACCAAGGTCACCCCGATCTCTCAACCCCACCCTCTGCGCGCACTTTCTAACAAGGCCAGCACCCACCAACAGCCTTCGGAAAGCCACGGGTGAGGAAGCCACCGAATCCGAATCGCGTGCCAAGGCGGCGGCCAGAAAGAGCTGCCACCGCGGTGACCGAAGCCCGCTGCAGTAAACTCATGACCGCCATGGCTACGGCGCGCGAGAGAAAAAAGCCAGAGGGCCAACGGAAGCCGACAGAGCCAATTCACCAATGAGGGCGAAGGTAGCGGGTGGCCATGTTGGGTGAGGGCAAAACCTGTTCCCGTGCTGTTTATCAGCCGTCGTAAACGGAAGCCGAGAGAGCCAAGTCACCAATGAGGTCGAAGGCAGCGGTGGGGCCATGTTGGTTGAGGGCAAAACCTGGTTCGGTTCTCTTGATCCGTCGCCTAAGCGCCGGAAGTGACGTCATCACTGGCGGAAACTCAGTTTGCCTCGGTATGTGAAATAATGGCTGCGGCCGGTTTGGCCAGTCTTTGTAGAAGAGTCTCAACCACCCTGAAGGTTTCCAGGTCGTTACTAACGCCTCAGGTCCCTGCCAGCTCAAGGTGAGTGATATATGGAGTAGGTTTGTCCACCTCTCTAAACTGGAATCGCGTTTAGTTTGCGAGATGTCGAGCACCGCTCAGGGATGAAAAGGCCACTTGGATGGCAGAGCCAGAACCCACTTTCGTAAGGAGTGAGTGACCTTGGAGAAGTTGCCTGCCTCCGACATTTCCGTTCCTTCAACATTTTGTTGCCGTCTGCTGTGGGCCACACAGCATGTGGAGTTTGCAGATGGCCAGCATTTTATTTTATTTTATTTTTTTGTGCGTTGGAGTCTCACTCTGTCACCCAGGCTGGAGGACAGTGGCACCCTCCCGGACACCGCAGCCTCGACTTGCTGGACTCAGGCGATCTTTCCGTCTCAGCCTTCCAAGTCGAGCCTTCCTTCTCAACCTTCCAAGTAGCTGAAACTACAGGCACGCGCCACCAAACCCGGCTAATTTTTAGATTTATTGTAGACACAAGGTCTCACCAAGTTGCCCAGGCTGGTCTCGAACCTCCGGGCTCAGGCAGTTCTCTCACCTCAGCCTCTCAAAGTGCTGGGATTATAGGCTGAGCCACCGTGCCCGGCCGATGACCAATATTTACTGAAGTAAACGTAGAGGTACAGAATCATCCTCTTGGGCTGGGTGAGTTGGGAAATGAAAGTAGCTACATGAACAGAAAGTCACCCTAAAGGTGTGAGAAAGGAGCATCCTACAAACCGTGTTCTTAATTACGAGGTGGAAACACAGCATGTCTTCTGGACAGACTGATCTTTTTTTATTTTAGGATGTGTGATTTCCTACCGTTTATTGGCATTTGTCTATCATGAGCGGAATTTTATAGTAATAGGGATGTCAGATTATTATTTTTTTTTTTTAAGGAAGTAATATATCTGCTCTTGAACGCACAAGAGATTTTTGAGAATCTGTTAGGTGCTAGTGTATTATTACACTAACCACAGAGATAGGCACTTTTTTTTTTTTTTCACTTGGCAGAGGCTCAGAGGTTGTAACTTGATCAAGGTGGCAAACTTGGATCAAATGTCTTTTCTACTTCATCGTTTTTCTTAAAAGGAAATAATAATTTCAGCTTATAAACTTATAAAGTCTCATCTGTGATTATTTATTTATTTTTGAGATGGAGTCTCACTATGTTGCCCAGACTGGTCTTGAACTTCTGGCTCAATGCAGTCCTCCTGCCTTAGCTTCCCGAAGTGCTGGCATTATAGGCATGAGCCACTGTGATAATTTCTTTAGTTAAGTTTCTAGATGTGAAATACTGAATTAAAGGAGGAAGCACTCTGGGCCCCTTATAAATGTTGCGTAATTGACCTTCAGAATGGTTTGACCTGCTCATGCGCCCACTAGCAGTGTAGGAAGGTCCTAAAAATGTTTCCCTAAAATATAATTGTGTAAATATATAATCTCAGCAGTTACAGAGTAGCAAACTTCTTTAATGCAATTTTTAAAAGTACTTTCTAAAACATAATTTTAATTTAAAAATTTTTTTGGATACAGAGTCTTGCTCTCTTCCTCAGACTGGAGTGTAGTGCACAACTACAGTTCACTGCAGTCTCAAACTCCTTCACTTAAGTAATCTTCCCACCCCAGCCTCCTGGTTAGCTGTGATTATAGGCATGCATCACCATGCCCAGCTAATTTTTTTTCTAGAGATGGGGTCTTGCTATGTTGCCCAGGCTTAAAGCATTTTAAAAGTTTATTGGTTCTTGTACAGAGCCCTGAGTAGATTTTTTAACATTGTAGATAAGGAAATGATTCTGTTTATTGTTTATAAAATCCAAATATAAAACTTTAATCACTTGTTTATATGTGTTCAGTTGCAGGTTTTCTCTTAGTTTGTTGCCTGAGAATACACGCAGTGTCACATCCCTTCAGCAGTGTAGGTTACTTCATACTACATTGTCAAGGAAAGGACTGGAAGAATTTTTTGATGACCCAAAGAATTGGGGGGAAGAAAAAGTAAAATCTGGTGAGATATTTGAATTGGTCAATATTAAATATGTTTATGGAACACTCCATCATTCCATGATTATTTGTCTAGTTTAGAAATTATCTTTCTATTTCTTTTAGGATTGTCCACTAAAGAAAATTGAAAAGACAATATAACAGAAAATTGTTCCTTAACAGGTTGGCAAAAGGTTTAGAAGAGGAATAGGTTGAAATTATTAACAAAGTGAGGTTTAGGGTTTATTTTAAACTTCATTTTTTTAGTGATAATTAAAAATTAATTTATAATAATATAAAGTACTTTGTTATTAGGTTGTGAAAATACATTTTGTATTAATGCTAATATTTTTTAATGCTATTGCCGGGCATATTACGAATATTTTCAAGTGTTACTTAATTTAGTCCTAATTAAACATTACAGTGTATATATTTTACAGTTTAGGGAAACAGATTTTTTTTTTTTTTTTTTTTTTGAGTTGAAGTCTCACTCTGTCACCCAGACCAGAGTGCAGTAGCCGCTCCCGGCCACTGCAGCCTCGACCTGCTGGGCTCCAGCGATCCTTCCACTTCAGGCTTCCTAGTAGCTGGAACTACAGGTGCGTGCTACCACATCCAGCTAATTTTTTGATTTATCGTAGAGATGAGGTTGCCCAGGGCTCGAACCTGCGGGCTTAGGCAATCCACTCACCTCAGCCTCCCAAAGCAATGGAATTACAGGCTGAGCCACCGAACCCAGCTAGGGAAACATTTAAAGAGGTTAAGTAATTTGCCAAGAGCACATAGCTAGAAACATTATTTCATGTTATGAATTATCATTTTAATAGGAGCAGCATGGACTTGTCAGCAATTAAGGAACAAAAGTAACGAAGACTTACATAAACTTTGGTAAGTATGCTGAGTACATTAACATCAGTATTTGAAGTGATTACAGTAAGTCCCCTACATATGAACAAGTTCTGAACTGAGAACATATTCAAAGGTCCAATTTGTTTGTAAGTCCAATAAAGTTAGCATAAGTACCCAACTAACAATCGGCCATATTGTATTGTACTGAAATAGGCTTATAATACTTTTCACACAAATAAAACATAACAAATCCCCAAAATAAAACATTTTTAATCTTACAATATAGTACAACAGTTGACATACAGGGGCTGGCATCAGTTGAACAGGCAAGAAGAGGTACAGGCTGGAGGAGGGAAAGGAGGTGGGACATGGTAGAGCTGAAGGATCATCATCAACAGGAGATGAAGGGCAAGCTGCAATTTCACTCACACCTGACGTTGATGGCACAGGTGCTTGTTTCTTGCTAGATTCAATTCTATGCTTCTGGACATCTTGGGCTTGAAATAAAGATACTGTACAATAAAGTACAAACAAAAGCACAACTACTTACAAAGGATGCATGCTTGTGACAGTGTACACCAGACATATGAACTACATGTGATTGGACATGCAAACACACATTTGCATCTTTGAAAATTCACAGCTTGGAAGTTTATATGTAGGTGACTTACTGTATAGTATAACACTGAAGAAAAGTTTTAGATCTATCTGATATAATAAACTGAGTAAAGTAATTTGTTAAATTAATAACATGTATGTCTAGAAATTTAGAAAAGGAGAGGAGACCATTTTTTGTAAAGGATTACAGCTTGCAAGGTGGCCATTCCAAAGGCTGGCGGGTGTGCCTCCAGCCAAGACCAGAGATAGGTACTTTGAAGGAGAGGTTGGGGTAGGAGCTTTATTTTTTATTTTTTATTTTTTGAGTTGGAGTCTCACTCGGTTGCCCAGACTGGAGTGCAGTGGCCGCTCCCGGCCACCGCAGCCTCGCCTGCTGGGCTCCGGCGATCCTTCGCCTCAGCCTTCTGAGTAGCTGGAATTACAGGCATGCGCTACCACGCCTGGCTGATTTTTTAATTTTTTTATTTACTGTAGAGATGAGTTCTCGCTGCCCAGGCGGGTCTCGAACCTTCAGGCTCAGGCAATCCACTCACCTTAGCCTCCCAAAGGCGCGGGATTACAGGCTGAGCCGCCGAGCCCGGCTGGTAGGAGCTTTACGCTGAACAGGTTGGCTAAATATATGTATTCAGCAGGTTACAGGAAGAGCTATGAATATTCATAAAGGTGGTCCCGACACATGCGTATTGAACAGCATGCATGCATCATCTGACCCATGTTCACTTTGGGGTAGAGACTTAACATTTAAATGTATTACAGTTAGGCCCTATATGTCAAAAGGTCTTTTCAGGACATGAAGGTGTGAGTAACCTGGCTAGAGCCAGACCACGGTCTGTCTTCCTATCAGAAGAAAGTTACTGAGTTCAGTCTTTTGTCCACTCAAAGCTGTAATTATGGCTGATGGAACAGGGGTTCAGTTAGACAGTGACTGCAGTTGTTTTTATTGTTTGTTTGTTTGTTTTGAGAGTTGGAGTCTTACTCTGCCACCCAGGCTGGAGGGCAGTGGCACACTCATGGCCACCCCAGTGTCAATCTGATGGGCTCTGGCGATCCTTCTGCCTCAACCTTCCAAGTAGCTGGAACTACAGGCACGTGCTACTGCACCCAGCTAATTTTGGATTTATTATAGAGATGAGATCTCGTCAAGTTGCCCAGGCTGGTCTCAAACCCCTAGATTCAGGCAATCCACTTGCCTTGGCCTCCCAAAGTGCTGGGATCTTAGGCTGAGCCACCGAGGCCAGCCCTGTAGTTGTTTTAATACTGCTTATTGTAAAGCAAGTGCTTGTTTAGCTGCTAGAGTAAAAGAAAATCCTTGTGGCAATTAGAACACGGTTTATTATCTAAGTGTAGGTTGCATGACTTAACCCTTGCCTGGCATAGCCTTAGAATTTTTTTATAATTTATATTATAATGCCATAAAAACTCTGTTCTGTCAGTCTTCCTCTATTTTGACATTAATATTAGTCAGTTATTTTGTCTAAACTGCAAAAGAAGGGGTATTCACAAGGCATGTCTGACTTCTAGTCCTGTCATGGCTGGCAACTATGTTTTTAAGGTTTTTATTGGGTCCCCTTGGCCAAGAGGGGATCTGTTCATTTGGTGGGAGACTTAGAATTTTATTTTTAGTGTACATCCTGATGTATAAGATCATGAAAGATTTTATAAATATGAGAGATTAGAATATGTTAAGACAAATCTATCACAGTTCTCAAGTTATTGGGAGTTTAGAAATTTTACTGTAACTGCTACCAGTCATACTAATGCCCTTAGTCTAGCAATTTCAGTAAACTAACTAGTAATATAAAATGGGGGAATAGTTGCTTACATTTAGACTTCCCTTTTTTATTCACCTTTTCATGGTCTGTAATCTTTAGCTTATTTGCTTAGGGAGGGGATGTGCTAGAGGGTACATTTAACAGGCAATTTGGTAGATTTTTCTGTCAAGTTCTCTTGAGGAATTAGAGAGTTAAAAGGATTTAAGGCAGGGTTGCATTTTTAATTGACTGTGTTTAGTCCAAAGGTATGTTTTGTGTGGACCATGCTGTTTTTAAAATTGGGAAATTTCACACAAAAAATAAGGATTCCTGTCTTTTCTTGAATAATCAGACCTGTGACTTGACAACACTGGCCCTGCATTCCTACATGGCAACAACCAGCTGTTCTATGTAGCAGCTGCCCCTTCCAGATGGACTAGCGCACAGGCTTCTTGCCCGCCCTGTCCTTTCCACACCCACCTCACTCGCACTAGCACTGTTATTGGCCTGGGCCTCTCCTACACATTTACGTGTTTATCCCCTGACTTAAAGTTGCTTATCTTTTATGGCAGATTAAAGAATTGTGAAGTGTTTGCAATAACCACTGATACTATATTTATTCATTAAAGAAAAATAAGTTGTATGAAAGCACTATTCGTTACTGTGTGTTATCAGTAAAAGGGTAGTTAAGACTGTTGAAACATTCATCATGGCAGCAACCAATCTTCTGCCACTCCTTCCTGTCAAATCATCTTCTTTCATAGTATAAGATACCCTAGTTCCTTTGTTATGTTTTCAGTGCCCTCCACATTTCCTTCCTGTCTTTTTTCCCAGCTCTGATTCTCAAACAGAGGTATTCAGAACACTTGTCCACACTTCAATTCTGTGACTTCAGTACCTTTGATGATGTGTGCTTTCCTTGCCTTTTCATCCCAACCGATCCCATCTCTTCTTTGAAACTTTCCCTGATTGCCTTAGCTAGAAGAGATGTCTCTCACCTCTCCCACTTAATTATTCTGGTACTTGTCTGTCCCACTCAGTATGCTGCATCATTACACTTTTGGAAGCAGCATGGTGGAGTCAAAAATAGCATGGATTTTGTACATGGAGGTTCGATTTTGAATCGTGAATTAGCTGTGTGACCCCAAATACCTTACGTCTCTCAGCCTTAGTTTCTATGTCTAGGAAGTGGAAATGGCACCAACCTCAAAAGGCAGTTGTGAGAATTAAATAATGTATGTAAAGCATGGTGCACACTGCCTGGCATGAAACAGGTGCTCAGTCAATGTAACTTACCTTCTTTCTCTTCTCTGTCCACTTGGAATGTAAGAACTATGCTTTGTGCTTCTCTGTAACTCTTCTAGCACTTAATACAACATGTGGCACATGGAAAGTTTGTTGAACAAATGGATAAGCAAAGGTATTTCTGTATAAAGGATTGTTCTTTGTAGTGATGTTCTGTATATTGAGATTTCTAAGTGATTTTCAAGTACAGGTCATTACTTTTGATGTGAGAAATCACAAGTTTATTAACATAGACTAGCATCACAGGCTTTATGTTCTTTGGTCTAGGTATGTCCTGCTGAAAGAGAGAAATATGCTGCTCACCCTGGAACAGGAGGCCAAGCGGCAGAGGTTACCAATGCCAAGTCCAGAGCGGTTGGAGAAGGTGTGTCTGGGAGGCTGGACTTGTGTGTGGGATTAAAGTGCAAGTGAGTGTGTGGTTCCTAAATTTGTCAAATGGATTTCTTTCTTATTTCGTTTGATCTTTAATAGATTTAGAGTAGTACACCCATCACAGTTACCTTATTTTGGAACATTTTCATCACCCCCGGAAAGAAATTTCAAATACCTGTCTGCAACCATTTCTCATTCATTTCTACAACCCCCAACACATGTGTGGACGAATGTTTTCATTTGAGTAGATACCTGGGAGTGTGGTTGCTGGGTCATGTGGTAAATCCATATTTAATTTGATAAACCACCAAGCTTCTTTCTGAAGCAGTGACATCACTTTACATGTTTGTTCTGTTTTAGCCACTTTCTTAACAACTGGATGATTAACACTTTTTTTTTTACTGTGGCAAAAATATGCAACATGAAATTTACCAACTTGAGCATTTTTAAGTGTACAGTTCAGTAGTGTTTAGTATATTTATATTGTTGGGAAAGGCCATTCTTTTTTTAAACTAGCTTTTCTTCATCATTTAAAGAGAAATCCCTTGTGTTCCTCTTCCCATGCTCAGACTTAAACAATCTTGTATGCTTCTTATTTATCCATCGGCATTTCTCTACACATGAAGCAGTATGTCTAATTATTTTCATTTGCGCAAATGTAGTTCTACTGTATTTACTCTTCTTGAACTTGCATTTTTCACCTACCTAGTATATCCTGAATATCCTTTCATACCAGTATGGAGATTTGCTTCTTTTAAAATATTTAAGAGATCTTTTCTTTGTAGAAGTTTTATATTTTTACTAGCTAGAGTTGTAAGTTTTTCCTGGGTTGCTTTTGAGGTCAGCCCTTAATGATTTTTCTGTGCCGTTGTAACTAGTCGGTGAGACCAGAACCCCATCTCCAAAGGAGCATTAGTCCTGCCTCCCAGCCTCAGCTCCTTTAGACTCCCTTCCTACACTGGTCACAACCATCACTGCCACGTGGCCTTTAAGAGGGAAGGACATGGTATCCCTGGAAGAAATCAAAGAAGGTATGAAATAGAACCTCAACTATTATCCTAATTATGGAGAAGGTTATTCTGACTTAGTGAAAGTTTAGTTATGTAACATTTTTGTTTTTTGACTTTATTTTGACATAATATCAGACTTACAGAAAAATTATAAGCGTAGTACAAAGATTTCTCATACACCTTTCGCCCAGATTTCTCACGCGCCTAGCGTACCACATTCATGTTATCTTTCTGTGTCTTCACCACTCCTCTACACACTTTCTCAAATATTTGAGAATCAGTTTTATATGTAATGTCCCTCTTTTCTTTTGGAGTTGGGATCTCACTCTGTCACCCAGGCTGGAGTGCAGTGCAGTGGCATGATCACAGCTCATTGCAGCCTCGATTTTCTGGGCTCAGGTGATCCTCCTGCTTCAGCCTCCTGAGTAGTTGGGACTACAGGTGTGTGTCACTATGCCCAGCTAATTTTTATATTTTTATTTTTGTATAGAGACGAACTCTCATTATGTTGCCTGTGCTGGTCTCAAACTACAATCCTCCCACCTTGGCCTCCCAAAGTGCCAGGATTACAGGCATGAGCCACTAGACCTAGCCATGATATCCTTTATCTATAATAATTTAATTGTATATTTCTAGAAAAACAAGAATATTGCCTTATCTAACCACTGATAATTTCAAAATCAGGACATTAACATTAATACAGTATTATTTCCTATGATCTACAGATTGTCTTCAGATTATATTGATTATCCCAACAATATCCTTTTTAGGTAAAGAAAATCCTGGATCATGCATTTTCGGTTTTTGTGTCTCTTTAGTCTCCTTTAATCTGAAGATTCGGTCTTTGTGTTTCATGACATTGATTTTTTTTTTGAAGAATATAGGCTGGTCCCTCAGTTTGGGTTTATGTCATGTTTCTCATGAGAAGGTTTGACAGAAATAAATATCAGAGAAGTGATGCTGTTGTATTCTTCACATGCATCAAATCAGGAGGCACAGATGTCAATTTGTTCTGTTATGTTCAACTAGTGTCTCTCCAGTTTCTCCACTGTGTACAATAGTTACTGTTTTTTCTTTTTATCTAAACAAATATGCATTATGTTGAACTCATATAAATATCCTGTAACTCCTCAACTTTCTCGTTTTAGCATCCACTGATGATTTTTGTCTGAATCAATCATTATACTTGCTAAGTGGCGATTTCCTAATCCTATCATTTATTCTACATTTATTGGTTGACTTTTTCTGAAAGGAAGGCATTTCCTTTCCCCTCACCTTTTCTGTATTCATTTATTCCATCCCATCAGTATGGACTCATGGATCCAATTTGTTCAGTGAGTTACAATCCTTTAATACTATTGTTCGCGATTTGGCAAGTGTGAGTTTCTTCCTATGTTCTCATCACTCTTTGATGAGGCAGAGCAAGATGCTTTAGTCTTGTGTTTTCACTGCCCCAGCCCTGGACTCAACCATTTAGCTGTGGAACTTGATTCCTCTTACCTGAGAATAATACAGTTAGAAACAAGTATCTTCACTATAGATGTCTGCATTGCTACATAACATTTATAAAATAATGCCTTTTATTTTCAGGAATATTTGCTAACTCTGCTGTTATAAAACTTAAGTTTTAGGGACTCTAAAATGTACATTAACAAGAAAGGAAGCTTTATAAATAACACAGTTTATTTGATGAAAAACTTTTGCCATAATGGTGCTGTTATAAGACTTTTGAACCCCAGTGATGGAGCTTTTCTGCTTTTTTTTTTTTTTTGAGTTGGAGTCTCACTGTCACCCAGACTGGAGTGCAGTGGCCAC